CCAAAAAAAAAAAACAAAAAACACCCAAGTGTTAAATGGAAGCCTCTGCCCAGCAACAGCATATGCTATGGTGGCAGTGGCTTCCCCAGCCATGACAAATCTTGCTTCCTCTTATGATGGAGCCTGGCAAGGCCCCAGGCAGCAGCCAGAGGGGAAGAAATAACTAGTGGGAGAAGGCGGGCAAGGAAGAATCCCCAAGGCTGACCAGGGGTCTGGCCGTGGTAGTTTACACTTCAGGAGACAGAGATTGGGAGGGTCCTGTGGTTCCAGACCTCAACAGGCAGGGTGTGGTGGTGCACTTGTTCAGCTACTGGAGTGGCATAGATAGGTCCAGGCTGGCTCAGGGCAAAACCATGAGAGGTGTGCCTCCAATGTGGAGTTCCCGGCAAAGCCAGGAAGACCCGGGCCGGAGAGTCGGGAGGACCGTGAGGACCGCAGCAGGGAGGCAGGAGAGAAAGGAAGGTGCCTCCTGGAACCACAAGCCAGCCAAGATCGCTGGCCCTGAGGAGGAAAAGTAAGACATTAACCAGAGAGCATTCCAGAATCAGGTGAGGTGCAATTTTCTTTCTAAAGGTCAAGAACACTGTTTTGTGTTTGTTTTTTTAAGGCAAAGGTAGCAATTGCAGATGCTGGCAGGGAAGGGACAAGAGGGTGTGAAAGGTCGGCTGAGGTGCACCGCGGTGGGCACGTAGGCGCTGGGCCGGCAGCTTCTACAGGACACCTGCCAGTAGAGGAAGCACAGAAGTCCAGTCCCCTGCCCACATCTGCCCTGCTAGAAAACACCCGGGCCAGACCACCACGCAGAGGCACCAGGGCGGGATGGGGTGCATCTGTGAGCCCTGGTTCACACCTGTAATCCTAGCTCCTGAGGAGACTGAGATCTGAGGGTCAGGGTTCAAACCCAACCCAGGCAGGAAAGTCTGGGAGACTTGTCTCCACTAAACTACCAAAACAGCAGAAAGTTGGAGCCATAGCTTAAGTGGTAGAGTAATAGCCGTGAGCAAAAAGAAGCTAGGCTCTTGAGTTCAAAGCCTCAAGAACAACACCAAAAAATCCAAACCAAAACAAAGAAAATGAGCACTGAGGAAGGAAGCAAGGGTTGGAAGAGACTTCTGCACTTCCAATTTGTACTTATTTATTTATATTGGAGAAAGCCAAGGGAGTTCCGGCTGAAGATTCAGAACAATGACATGGACCATACATTCACCCAAGTGCTTCAACCTTAATTCAGGACCAGAGAGAGATCAGATAGTGCAGACAGAAGTTGTTTGTTACAATTGTAAGGATCCTGAGAAGTATTTCTCATCCATCCAATAATTTCTGGTGACTTCAAAACATCTGCCTAAACAACAGATATTTATTTCTTCCATTTTGAACTAAGGACCTGGCTGTGCTTTCTAGGCAAGCACTCTGCCACTTGAATCATGCTCCAAATTCTTTTTTTTTTTTGTCATCTTTTGGAAAGGTGGCTCAGTGGTAGAGTGCTTGCCTTGCATGCATGAGGCCCTGGGTTCCATTCCTCAGTACCACATAAGTAGAAAAAGCTAGAAGTGGTGTTGTGGTTCAAGTGGTAGAGTGCTAGCCTTGAGCTGAGGAGTTGAAGGAGAGCACCCAGAGTTCAAGCCCCACAGTAGACAAAAAAAAATAGTTATTTTAAAAGTGATGTACAAGGGCTGGGGAGGTGGCTCAGTGGTAGAGTGCTTGCCTTGCATTCACGAGGCCCTGGGTTTGATTCCTCAGTACCACATAAGCAGAAAAAGCTGGAAGTGGCACTGTGGCTCAAGTGGTAGAGCGCTCGCCTTGAGCTGAAGAGCGGAGGGACAGTGCCCAGGCCCAGAGTTCAGGCCCCACGACCGGACCCCCCCCAAAAAAAAAGTGATGTACAACCCCATGCCACAGGTGTCTCTGTGATCGCGTCCTGCGTCCTGGCTCATCTCCAGTCATCATGGAGTCCCAATTCAGCTCTCCATTGGAGCTGAATGGGCTTGTTGGTATTGTTCTTGTTACTTCTTTCCTCTTTAGCATGTTTCCTAGCTGTGTTATGTGTATTTGCATGCTGCAGGCCATTGTAATAACTGGCGGCCTGCAGTCTGTTCACTGTATAATAAAGACTCCAATATTCTATATATAAAAAAGTGATGTACAGAAGGATTACATGAGTAAAATGAGTACATTTCCTTTCATATTGTCTTCTCTTCACTCTCTTCCCAAAGTCCTTTTTGGCTTTGTAGCTATCTGGCACTTTTTTTTTTTTTTTTTTTTTGGGTCCGGTCGTGGGGCCTGAACTCTGGGCCTGGGCGCTGTCCCTCAGCTCTTCAGCTCAAGGCGAGCGCTCTACCACTTGAGCCACAGCACCACTTCCAGCTTGTTTTGCTTATGCGGTGCTGAGGAATCCAACCCAGGGCCTCAGGCATGCAAGGCAAGCACTCTACCACTGAGCCTTCCCAGCCCCTGTCTGGCACTTTTTAAAGGGAGCTTCCCAAAACACTCCCAGAGTGACTTGGGTGACTGTGGTCATCTGTCTACACAGAAAGTGCCTTGATGAGCTTTAATATAGTGTCAGGTGTCATAACCCTGAGCTGGTCAGCAGGGAGGGTCTTTCTGCAGCCCCTGGCCTGGCATCAGGCTTCTCATCCTAGCACAACCCAGATAGTCTTTTGGGGGAGGACCTAGGCCTCCATTCTGGCCCCCTACACCAGCTTGCTGTGAGTTCCTGGGTCACGTCCTCTCCTGGGAAGGTTGTAAGGGGACTTTTTCCTTCCACCCACTTCTTCTGAAAAGGTCAGGGAAAAACTAGTGATATTGTAGACATTTATTTTTGGTACTGGTAATGACACCCAAGGCTTCCCACACACCAAGTCACACACCAAGTGTGCATGCTAACACGTTTTCCTAACAGGAATGTTTTGATGAACATGGATGCACAAATCTCTCTGAGACCTTGCTTTTCATGTTTTAGTAGACATGGAATTTCTGGATTTTTTTTTTGCCAGTCCTGGGGCTTGAACTCAGAGCCTGGGCACGGTCCCTGAGCTTCTCTTGCTCAAGGCTAGCACTCTACCACTTGAGCTACAGTGCCACTACCGTTTCTGTTTATGTGCTACTGAGGAATTGAACCCAGAGTTTCATGCATGGTAGGCAAGCACTTTACCACTAAGCCACCTTCCCAGCCCTGCTTCTTTGTTTTTAAGAGTCTTGCTTTGCTGCCCAGCTTGGTCTTGAAGTCATGAGTTCAAGCAATCCTTTTGCCTCAGCCTCCCAAATTGCTGGGACTGTAGGCATGTGACTAAGCATACAGTCCACTTACCCTGCTCCAATCTTTTACACTGAGAATATATTCCTGTATTATTTGGATAATTTGAAATGTACAAAGCTAGGCATAGTGGTTCATACCTGTAATCTCAGCTCTTGGGAAGCTGACACAGAAGGATTTTACAAGTTAAAAGCCAATCTGGGCTACAGAATGAAAGCCTATCTCAAATCTTCCTCCTCAGAGGAAAAGACTATATACAGAACAACCATAAAAAATAAAATAATCAGAAGGCAGGTTTGGGAAGTAAACGTGTCTGGTGTGGAGTGGTAGGTGGGTTGGCCATGGGTAGAAATTGTATGTATCCAACACATGTCATTTCAGAGATGACAGTCTGCGCACAGGCCACATAGTCTATTTCCTTTGTGTATGGATAAGGCTGGAAAAACAAACTGAATTATTCAAATACTTTTCCAGTTTCCTTCAATTCCTCACTTGGTAGTATTCTGGTTTGTCTGCTAAATTTCCCTGTGTGTCAAATGAATTTTACACATATCTCTAATACTTTCTCCTTTCTGAGAGTCCTGTTCTTCATAAAGCTCCCCAACTAAATTGACTCCTTCCACGTGCAGACACACAGGACTTTGCCCTCAGATAAGAGGCCGACTAAAACTCACACGCGCTTAACTGAATGTTGGCGTGCACCTTTAGACGGAATCTAACATTCACAAGCTCAGGACAAGAGCCAACTGGCAAGGACTTCGATTCGGGGCTGGGAAGGTGCCTCAGTGGTAGAGCGCTTGCCTTGTGTGCATGAGGCCCTGGGTTCGATTCCTCAGCACCACATAAGCAGGAAAAAAAAGCCAGAAGTGGCGCTGTGGCTCAAGTGGTAGAGCGCTAGCCTTGAGCTGAAGAGCTGAGGGACAGCGCCCAGGCCCAGAGTTCAGGCCCCACGACCAGACCCCCCCAAAAAAAACCCCAACAACTCAGATTCGAACATATATCCCACATTTCTTCAAGTACTGTTGAGTATCGACCTACTGTGCACCTCCTACTGTTACCAAATTGGGGTGCCCTTCCTAGTGCTCAGCAAGTTTGGGGTGCCTTGGACGGCAGCGGGGAGTGCGCACGCGCACACGCACTCAGCACAGCACAGTTCGGAGAAGCTAATGTGCCAGGCGTGCTCCGAGGGTGCGTGCGCGCGTGCGCGCGCGGTCACAACTCACACTGCACGGGCTCCCGACTGAAACGTGCGCGTCCCGGGGCACCCCGTACGGCCGTCCCGAAGAGGAGACCCGAGGCGGCGGGTCCCGGCCGCCCTACCGCGACGGGCGCTC